TATAAAGCCTTTATTGATGTGCTTTGCCAATTAACAATCAACATCCTGTATATTGAAGCTTTGGAGCAAAATCTGAACTACATCAAATTCATGTGACAGGTTTTATCTAAAAAAATGAAGGCTTGGAGAATTTGAGATTGTGGTGCTCCTCTATGGATATTAACTCTAGTGTGTATCTAATCAGCATGAATAACTCCCTCTCGTACTCCATCATAATATTGTCCCCCTAAGTTAAGTGCAAGAACTACTCCCTCAAGTAATCGGTGTGAGCCTTGCCGATGTATTTATGTCTGAACTCCGATAAGAACATCTCCCAAGTCAGCCTCTCTGGATCCAATGTTAATTCTATCGTCTCCCACCAGTCAGTGGTGCCTCCCTTGAGCAAGGCATTGGCATACTCAAGCTTATCATCCAGGGTAAGGTGCAACTGGTTGAGGGTACGGAAAACCAAAGAACTTGGTTGTCTTATATATGTGGAGCCTCTCGACTTGGGACACCTAGGGCACTACTGCAGGCTGGGCTGGAGGTACCGATAGGGGAGGAGCTATAGCTGAGGCGCTAGGTATGACCCTAACACTCTACCCATGAATTGAGGTGATGTCCCTAAAGAATGTCACCTCATCAACCATTGTCTACGTGTACCTCATGTTGGTATATATCTAGGACGAATTGGTCCTCGGTGTCAGCTGCTAATGAGGTACAGCTCCCGTCTCTGTCATCCTGACTAAAAACTAGGTCGTCTGCAATGAGATTTTCTCTGAAATTAGAAATAAAATAAGGTTATTATCGTCATTCTAGTATTTAAAGTACTTTTGACTCTCTAGAGGCATGTACATTTATAGACGCTGACTGACTATAACCCACAGGTCCTAAGAACGACTAAACCTGACGCTCTAATATCACTAAATGTAACACCGTAATCTAGTCTAATCTAAAGATCATTGAATCATAATGTCATATGGGCACAAAAATGCTCGATACTTGTGCCTAGAAATACCTTATTTTAGGGACAAAAATGCTTCCCCAACATTCTTAAACATTCTATTAAGGTCCCCAAACATTATTAAAGAGTTATATATAAATATAGGGGTTATAAAGAGTCCATAAACATGCTGGGAAATACTGATTTATGAATTCTATTATGAACATGTTTCATAACTCATGCAACCTACCAAAACACATCTATTGATCTACATGTGGTAGAGTTGAGTTAGAAATGAGTTACCTCGATTTCCAAAGTTGCTGAAAGTGTCCAAGGTTCAACCAAGCGCTAGCTTCTCTTTTCCTCTCGCCTTGAAGCTTTCTCCAACCTCTCTCACGGGATAAGAATCAACCACAAGTGTTACTAGCTTGATTTAAAGGTTTATAAAGGTTCAAAAACACTTTCTAAGGCTTTGACTTTTGGAAACGGATTGAATCACCTAAATTCCTTAAACCCCCACAAAACTCAAGTTTTTTGTCACCATAGTTAAAACTTGCAAAGGAGAGCTTGAAATGAAGCTTGGAAAGAGGAGATTAAGTTTCTCGCCTTAATGATGTTGAGGCTTAAAATGTCTCAAATCTTCAACCTTTCTTAGTTATCTTGGTGAAGAAGAAGATGGAGAAGAGAGAAAGAAACAAAAGAGGATGGGAAAAGGTAGAGAGGTTGAATAGCCTATTTTGGTATTTCCCTTGCTGATTAATCACCACCAATTGAAAGATTTCAGCTTTAAATCACATGAGAGGTTATTCAAACTTTTGGTCCTTATTTTTATATCCTAATATTAAAAATACCCTCTTTATCATATGGTGGGCCAAAACCAAGCCCAAATCCAAGGCTAATTTGGTATAGGTCTTATAATACTAATAGTTTTATCTAAACCTACTCAGGTTAACTCGAAACTACTATGGATTTTGGGTATTACACATCTTGTAATGGATTAAATTAATTTTGATTTTATTTTTTAATAAATTTTATATAAAAATATTTATAGTATCACCTTCATCTCCGTAATAATATAGCAGGATTTGAAATGGACAAACTTCACATCCCACTCAAACAACAACGTCCGGAGAGGGGATTAAAGATGCTTCCTTTACAACATCCCTTCATCTATTTTTTTTACAGAAAAAATTATTATCAGAAACAAACAAAAACTTGGAGGAAATGAATAAGGGTATCATGTCATAAAATTGTATTTAACTCCTAATTGGTCATCATCATCTTCAACGCGTTAATTTCCTCGTTACTTCCTGCTTTGTTTATTTAAAAACAGCTTCTCCAAGAAAGCTCACCTCCGGCAATTGTTCAATTTTCTCGAGCTTTTCTCCCTTCTCAGCTCCCACAAAATCTCTTATCGGCATGGACATGCCAATGTGGAATAATAGCATGAACTCGATGAACATGCAGATGAGCTTCTATTGGGGTAAAGATGTAACGTTCCTCTTCTCAGGGTGGCCGGGAAGCAACAACGGTATGTACGTATTGGCCCTCTTCTTCGTTCTGTTTCTAGGCGCCACCGTTGAGATTCTGACCATGTTGCCGGCTGCACTTAAACCTGGGACCAAACCCATCCTCGTAGCTTTGATTCAGACAAGCGTTCACGTTGTTCGGATGTGTTTTGCTTACATGGTTATGCTCTCTGTTATGTCCTACAATGGTGGGATCTTCATAGCTGCAATTCTTGGCCATGGTGTCGGGTTCTTTGTCGTCAAGTTTCGTGGTTTGGCTACAGAAACCAGGCAGCAGGAGGACTTGTCTCGCAATGGTATCGCTTCTAAAATTTGATGGGATTAAATGCCTCAACCCATTTCAATAATAATTGCTAGATATTAACAGAGATTTAGAATTCAAGTTGTAACCCCCTGTTTCCATATAAAAACATACAATTCTGGATCTCATGTTGTGTACTCTTTTGATAGAAAATTAAGTAAAGGATTGTTATAAAGTTGTAGGCCTTAGATTTCATACGGGCCAAGTCAAGTAAATCGGGTTTCATAGCCCAACAAGCCTTATCAGACTGATAACCGTCGTACAGAGAATTGGAAAACAAACTTCGCAATCAACTTTACTTTCGGACTTGGTTGATGTTTGCACTTCTTATCTTCTATCTTTTATCTTTTCGTAATTAATAGCTCAGAGTATGAGAATGGGAAAACAAACTTAAATTTACATCTCAAGTCAAACTTTTACTATAAAACTTAGGAAATAATGCTCCACCGATCTCAAATCATTTATGTTGAGCCCCCAAGCAGAGGTGAAAATCGGATCATTTAGATTAAGTTCGACTTGGGATTGGATCATTTTAAATGTAGACTATTTCGGTTTATATTTAGTTTGGATCAGATCAAATCTGGTTCGAGTTTAATTTGCGTATATGAAAATTTAGTTTGGATCGATTGATTTTTGATTCGGTTTAACATCAGATCTGTTGATTTCGAGTCAATCAGTTGGATCAATATCAAGTCGGTTTGTTTCGATTTGGGTCAACCATTAATTTTTTCGAGTTGATTTTAGTCAATTTTTAAATTTTCAGGTCAACCCTTATCGCTCTTTGTCGTTATAACTTTTGGTGTTGTTCTTTATTAATTATAATTCAAGAATTATAACTTAAAGATGTTACTTGAATATATATATATATATATATATATATATTGTTATATCTAGGGATGGGCATGGAACCCAAACCCGACTCGGGTTGGATTTTTTTTTTTAAAAAACAAGGTCGGGTCGGGTTTTATATTAAAATATTTGGAGTCAGGTTTAGGGTTAAAATAATCTTACTCAACCCGAATAGTTAATGCATAATTTTTTTTCTTTTTTTATTTCCCTGTAATGCGCAACGTTTTCTATCAATTCGAAGCATAAAAGAAAAAGATGAAGGAACCATCAAAACAAAACTAGGCTAGTCGGCAACTTTCATGGTTCCCGAGGGAGGTGAATACAATTGGCGAGCATGATATTAGGGTGTGGCTTCCAATGATTATTTTAACTATTTTTTAACTCCTTTTAATGATTTTTTCACGCTTTTTCCTTCCTTTTTTTTTATTTTAGTCAAAATACGGGACCAAGCGTGATATTAGGGTGTGGTTTCTAACGATTATTTTAAGTATTTTTTATATTTTAAATTAAAAAATTTGTGAGTTTTAATAAATAAAAAATTAAATCGGGTAGGCTCGGTTCTGGTGAAATTATAATTTCGTCAGGTCGAGTCGGGTTACGGGGTGGAGTACCCTTTCTTCTCGGGTCGAGTTGGGTGATCTAAAAACCCAACCCGAACCATACCCATAACTACTTGTATCCCAAATTTAGAGCTAAAAATTTAGTTTTAATCAAACCGAATCAATAAATCTTTAAAATCAAAAGTTTTATGCAAATATATAGTCGCAATTCAAATTCAGAGCTAGAAATGATGAATAGAAATTATTTCATCAGACATAGAAATAATCTTTTAACTGAGAAAAGAGTATTGAACCATTAAAATATTAGTAAAAGTGATAGTTAATTAGTAGTTTAATATAAAATGAGAATAAAACACACATCATTTTATTATTTATCAATCTTAAAAATAGATAATAACTAGTTAATAAATAAATTATTCATTTATTTAGACTTAATTATGGGGTCATGGGTCAAAATTTCAATTGGGATCAGATATAGTTAAACTAAATTTGGGTTATTTTTAATTCAAGTTTTTTCTATTTATGTTACTTTCGATTCAGATTAATTTTAGTATAAATTGCTCTCTATCCAACTAAAACTCACATCGATTTTGTTCGATTCAGATTACTTCAGATTTCAAATCAATTTTGAATAATAATATATGAGTGTATATCAAATCTCGAATAAATTAATTCAGATAATCGAATATGAGTCAAATTTGCGAGGTATATCCCATGTTTTATATCAAATTGCAGCTAAATATTGCCACTATTCATCAGCACCATAAATTGATCACCATAAATTGATCTTTCACACCCGGGTTGAGTCCCATCAGCAATGACTCAAAGGGACCCCTTGCAATTTGAACAAGATGCAAAACTTATTATTATTATTATCCCAAATCCCACAACATACAGAAAGTCGCAAAAGAGTAATAACCCCGCCCAAACCAAATAAACAAAAAGCTGCTGCGTTGCCCACCTGAAACTATAAAATTCCTTTAATTTCACCTAAAAATCCAATTCCCATTTTTTCCTAATAACCATATTTTCGTTCTTAAACCTATAAACTACCCTCTAAACTACTATTTTCCCTATACACTAAACTACCAACTTCTACTGTTTTTTTTTTAAAGTTCTAAAGTATCAATAATTCCATTCTTGAGGTAACCGAATCTCATGGCTGATTCCCCTGCTGTTTTCTAAACTTGTTCCCACCACTTCTAAGCCTCGAACCAGCACCTACAATAGTCATAAACCAAACAAACTCAACAGCAATTCACAAAGCATAATCTCAAATAAGATTGTCCAGGAAGCTCTTTTTACCACTATCAGTAGTGACACTCACTTTAAACCGAGAGCGAAGGTGGGGCTGAGCGTTAATCTCATCGAGATTCAAGTTCAAGGCCTGAACCACTCGAGCTGGAACCAAAAAAGCAGGGCAAGCTGCCAAGAAAAAAAAGAGAAGAAAATCGGATTTAGGAACAACGAAGATAGCAATTAGCAAAGAAAAAACAACAGTTCTGGACCTTGCTTCTTCCGGGGTTCAGCTGTACTAGTACGGCGAGGCAAGAAAACACCAGTTCCAGTACATTCCCCTTTGCTGCCCAAAAATACAGCCCGCATACTCGACCCATTTTGAGGCTGGGGTTGCAGAGGGGGACATGCAGAAGGGAACAAACCCGGAGGCCTATTAGTACTGTTTTGATGGACCACATGCTGCTGATGGTGCTGCTTCTTTCCTCCCCAAACTCGTGGGTTATGTTGTTTCATTAGTTGGTTTTGCTGCACTTGCTGAAAATGAAAGGGGGGGAAAACAACCCAAATTAATAGCCTATAGGGGGGAATTTCAGGAAAAATAAGCTATTTTTAGCTATTTCTTTCAAGGTTTTTACCTCAGTGGCCCGCAATGAAAGATATTGGTGAGGGTTTCGCGAGGTTTTTTTGGCTGGTGGACCTAAGAGGCCCTTGTTATTGAACCCGCCGTATGATTCTTCATTCATTCGTACCCTCGCAGCTTCCTCTGCTGCCGAACAAAGCAGAGTTCGTGCTCCCGGCGGCGTTGAAACTCGAGATTCACAGTTTGAGCTTCCATGGCAGGACCTAAACGCACATAGGGTCGATTCGGGAGAACTGAACAATACCCAATCCTAAAAAACGGTAGCAAAAACAACGAAACATGAATAAGAAAAAACCATCGAATCAATTGGAGAATTAGATGTTCAAGTATAAACAGACCTTGGAATTTTTAGAGGCAAACGCAGGGTGGTTGGCGCCAAAATCATCTTCAAGAGTATAGCGAGCCATTTGACGAGTTAGCCCAACGAGGTAATCTTCTTCGTCACTGGCTGTCTCAGTAGAACCCACCACGGACTCAACCAGAGAACTTAGATCCGAATGTAACTCGTACGGAAGCAAGTCCTTGTCAGGACTGTCGTTAACTTCACCGTTATCCACAAACAAATCATCGTCGGCCAAGAACCGTGGAGGAAGCCAAAACTCACCGTCGTCCAAAACCTCCGCCATGAGCAAAGAAAGAAGAAGAAAGAAGGGACGTTTGATATGAGAAATGGGTGGGGGTTGCTTAAAAAACAAAGCAGTTGCACCTTGCACCACTGATTCTTAATTTTGCTTTTGAATATAACCGCAGGTGTATAAATATAGGGAAGTAACTGTAACAAGGAAGAACAGATAGGAGTGTGGGGCTAGAAAAGGCAAAAAAAAAAATCCAGAGGAACACGTTCTGCCCTCCGTTTCCATTGGCGGTATGGCAGCTAAGATTTATACATACTTGGAACTACGTGGGGCCCAAGTCCAGCGTTTGGGCTTATGCAGATCGCAGTTTTGCATGTGACTGCCCCCACTTTGTTTTCTTCCCATTTTCTGAGGTTTAACTTCAAAGTAAAGCAATATCTCAAATGAAATCCCGCTGCTTGATGTTGTCTATTTGGAATGTTCTGTTTCTCTGTTTTTATTATACATCTGTAATCTTAAATATCATATCTTATTTTTCCCTTGATTTCGAATCAATTTATCCTGGTGTTATATTAATTTTTGTTAATTTATAAAAAAAAAACTAAGCATGATTTTACTTTTTTACATTTTTCTACATCTAAAATTAAATAAAAACAGTAAGATTTTTTGTAAAATGTATTTCTATTCTTTTGTGATAATAACATGGGTATAAAATTAAGATTATAATTCTGTATAATAGGTTGGATTAAGGGAAACAACCGCTTACCATGAATGCTACATATGAAATATGTTTTCATTCGAATTGAAAACAAAATTAAAAATAATCTGAATTAATAATACTTACAGTTGAAACGTTAAACTTTTGTATATTATCATAAGTATTTTTTCCACCGACTAGGTTTAAAAAGATTTGATATTCTCTTTATATAATCTAATCTTATAAATTCATACCATATCGCTGAAAAAAATTTAAAAAATAAAATTTAAAAATTAATAACTCAAATTTAAAAGATGGAAAATCAAAATTATTTTTGATATCAGCTTAACAACCTAGATGCTTTTTTGTTAATGATTAGTAGGTGATAATTAAGGAGGAGGAGTTCAGTAAACACAAGGGGATTCGAGATTAAGCAAGCTAAAAAGAGGATGACGTGGAAGTGGAATGGAGTCAGTAATTTTTTAACTTTTAGTTAGATAAGTCGGTTTGGTCAATCCTTTTTGCATTCACTAAGGGCGTGTCGTTTTCAAATTTCCCCAAGTATGGTCGTTGGACGGTGCTCCTATCCCGGACGCAACACCTACCATTCAACTCTATTCCATACCACCTTTTTAAATCCACAATCCCATTCCATTCAATATGTTTTTTACGTTGGGAATGTGTCACTAGGGGGACATGGAACAGCTCACAGTGACAGTACTACTTGGCTGTTAAAACACAGACCGTACATTTCATCCGTCTTCCAGATCCACGTATGATATACTCGCGATCACAACTGTCGGTTTCCATGCTACCAATGCTTGATGGAGCTTTCGTGACCTTGCCTTGTAACGGAAGCGCGTGATGTTGAAATGATCGATTAAACTGGACAAGTCGGCGTGACAGACATGAACTCGTTTTGTTCCAATAATTCCCCCCATTAAAGTGAACAAAATCTCACCAAATAATTTAACTTTCACGCCTTGAAGATAATTGATTTCATATTACAGCTAGCAAATTCTTAATTAACTTCAAAAAAATAATAAGATAAGATTTTTAAAAATTGTAATCGATATAATCTAGTTTAATCCCCAAAAAAAAGTCTCAATTTTAATGATAACCAAGTCTTTGCTCTTTAAAAACGTTACTTTTAAGCAATGGATACGGAGAGTGTTCACTGTGGCTAAGCACATGCATCGCTAGCTTTTTGGTTATTCTTCCATTACGAGTTGACCGTATTCATGTGAAATCTACTGAAGGATCTAACATGCAAATTTGCACACAAGTTGACAACCAAATGAAAATGATTTGGACCCACCAAACCAAGTCCATTTCATGCTTCGGTGGAGCCAGGCCAAATTCTTTTGACCTTTTCTTGTGTATATATCTAGTAGGACGTTCATTCAAAATATGGTTACTAGTAGGTAAATGAGACACGAAATTAGCCAATATTATGTTTTTAACTACACGAGCTACAAAGAGTAATACTCGCAACTCATAACTTTACTAAATAAAAGATTAACTGAGCGGTTTTTATTTTACAAATTTCTAAATTCGTTTTTGTATAAACATGTATTTATTGATAAACAACAGGTGAGATCTTAGTTTATGATGGTAATTGGTAAATACAATAGTTATAAATTAATGATTTATGGTTCATCTATTCTTATGTGATCGAAAGTCGTGAGTGAGTTAAAGAGAAAGAAAATTATATTCATTAGTCTATACCTTGTGTTGTATTTGTTTTTTTTTATCTATATCTTAACTCTCTCGAAACTTATAGTTATCATAGGATCAATTCTTAGGTTACGTCAAATATGAGGTTGAGGCTCGAGGATTGATGTATCAAATGAAATGTAACACCTTAATTTGGTCTAACCCGAAATTTGGAGGATTAAAGTGTCACACGGAATGGAACGACGGAATGGAATGATTTAAGTGGTTGACATTTTTTTGAAAACACTTAACCAAATTTCAACATTTAAACATAATATAGAAATACCATTATAGATACCATTACAAAATACGAAGAGCTCCCAACAATAGTCTCCAAAATACATAAGTGTAGAACAAAGTTACGACTTAATAAAACAATATGGTCTATAACAATACATGCCCTCTGCAATACTCGAGACATACTCTGATAAAGGATCGAGTCTGGAAGTCCTGAAACCTATCAACGAGCTCCTTAGATGACACTTAAAAACATGCGCACAAAAACACATTACATACGCTGAGCTCACAAGCTTAGTGCCACACAAATAACCCGACTATACTACATGCATTTAACATAGTATGCGACAAGTATGGTTATGAACATTTGAATACATTCATACAACAACAAAAGTAAGCATCATTGTGGAACTCGAGGTCACCTAGCATCACGGAAACCACACCTCTAATTGCTTACTACAACACCTTTAGGCGAGATTTGGGTCACATAGCATCAACATCTCCCCTATACTTTAGGCTAGGTTCGGGTCACATCAGTACCTTGCCCGGCAAGTCTACTCCTCTAGAGTACTCGGGACATGACCTGGCCACATAGTGTCAGCACAACATCCAACTAGCATTTAAAGTGCACAAGTACTAAATTGGATATATTTGAATAATCCTTATTCTATCACACAATCGTCATACAAGTGACACAGGTGTCATCGTTGTTTCTCGAGCATCATACAAAGGCATAAGTCTTATGGAATCTTACTTCATTAAAATCTTATGGTATCACACAATTCATTAAGGTTTCCACTTGTAAGCTTATTAGAAGGTTTTCCTCACCAAATCCCTTGGTTTCGTATTTCTAATCCAAGCTAGGCTTATAGCCTAAAAATTCACGATGGTATCGATACTCCTTCTTGGGTATCGGTACACCCCTCTTGTGGTATTGATACTTCCCCAAGTATTGGTACCGAAATTTCATTTGATGTTTTAGAAAATACCTTAGTATCAATACCCCTATTGGGAGTACCGATGCTCTATACTCGATATCGATACTCCTATGAGTACCAATACTAAAATGACCTATTGGAATCTGATCAAGTCCTTGAGTATTGATAATATGCCCTTGAGTGTCGATACCACCTGAGCAATATCGATACGTCTTGAGGTGGTATTGATACTCTCCTCACAAATCCTTTGAATTTTGCCCATTCACGATGAGCAATATCGATACTATATGAACAGTACATATACCCTCTACCTAGAAAACTTCATTTCTCTTATCTAAAACTTCTCAAATCCCTCTTAAAGTGTCCCCAAGACCCCCCAAATGGTGTTTAAAGCTTATTTAGAGTTTAAGGGACATGAAAGGTCATTACTTTATGCATGAATAACAATAATTTTCCATTTTATGCTTTGAACCCCCAAATGCACCCAAATGATTCACACACTCATACAAGCATCAAAACTATACATGTTGATCTACGAGCAGTAATGAAATGTTAGGAGTGTGTTACCTTACACATAGGAGTTGTAAGAACAACCTCAAACTCACCCAAGCACATTTTTCTCTTTACCTTTCACCCACTTCCCTCAATAGAATAATGAAAATGAGTTCTCAACTCATTTATGAGCTTAAGAAAGGTAAGAACGAAATTTCTAGGGTTTGAGAATAAACTAGAGCTACTCACAAGCTTTAAAACCTAAAACCCTCCATAAACTCAACTATAACCAAACTCTAATATTAGGGGCTTAAAATTGAGTTTAGAAGATGGAGATTTCAACCCTTACCACAAGAATTTCAAACTAAGGATGGACACCCACAAAGTCTTCACATTTGAATCAAAATACAAAGAAGAAAGATGGAGAGTTTGAATGAGGAATGAGATAAATGATGAGGAAAAATAGATATGAGAGTGTTACCCTTGTTTGTATTTTTCCCCTAGTGTGACCTCACCCATTCATAAAAGAAAGTCAACCTTTGAAACTTTTAAGGGAAATTTTACAACTTTGGTTCTCCTTAGTTTAGTCCCAAATCAACAATGTCCCATTTTTACTACTATTTGGACCTATAATGAAGCCCAATCACTTTATATTTAGACAAGAGTTTCTTACATGTCTATTGAATCTATATAATTCTCTCTCGGGTCAATCAATAACTTCTAACCTATTAAATTTATATAAGAGAAAATAACCTCAGTGACCGAAAATTCCTTATAATATACGATTTTAACCAACTTTTTTACGATTTGCCAAAATGACCAACAAAATCGCAATGCGATCTCTAAATTGCAACACGATCTCTATTATCGCAATTCAGTTTCCAGATTCGCAACGCGATTTTGGCCATCGTATTGCGATTTTCGAAATCCGCGTTGCGATTTTAGATAATCGCAATGTGAATATGTAAATCGCAATGCGAATATGTAAATCGCAACGCGATAACACGTGATCGCAACGCGATTCTAACTATCACAACGCGATAATACGTGATCGTAACGCGATTCTGACTATCGCAACGAGATTCTGACTATCGCGTTGCGATAATATAAAATCGCAATGCGATTTTCAAAGCGCCATTAGTATCGCAATGCGTATTTTATTTTTAAATTCCAAACACGAA